CCAATATAGAAAGCAGCATGAAGATTCCTTGGAAAACCGGGATGGAACCACCATTTGACCCAGGTATCCCATTCCTTGGTCTATACCCAAAGGACTTAAAAACAGCATACTACAGTGATGCAGCCACATCAATGTTTATAGCAGCACAATTCACGATAGCTAAATTGTGGAACCAACCTAGATACCCTTCAAAAGGTGAATGGATAAAGAAAATATGGTATGTAAACCATGGAATATTACTCGGCATTAAAAGGCATTTGCAGGTAAATGAATAATGTTGGAGAATATAATGCTAAGTGAAGTTAGCCAATCCCAAAAAAACCAAATGCCAAATATTTTCTCTGATATAAGGATGCTGATTCATAATGGGGATGGCAGGGGCAGCATGGGAGGAATAGATGAACTTTAGATAGGGCAAAGGGGAAGTTAGGGGATAAGGGGGTAGGAAAGATGGTGGAATGAGACAGACATCATTGCCCTAAATATGAAAACACGAATGGTGTCACTCTATTTACAACTAGAGACATGAAAAATTGTGTTTTATTGTGTAATGTAAACTGAATTGCATTCTGCTGTCATATATAACAAATTATAATAAATAAAATTTTTAACAATGTCTTTGCTAGGTATGGTGTCTCACTCCTGTAATCCCAGCAACTCTGGAGGCTGAGGAAGGAGCATGTCAAGTTCAAAGCCAGCCTTAGCAACTTAGTGAAGCCCTAAGTAATACAGCCAGACCCTGTCTCTAAACAAAATACAAAAAGGACTGGGGATGTGGCTCATTGGTTACATGCTCCTAGGTTCAATATTTGGTACCAAAAAAAAAAAAAAAAAAGCAAATGTCTTTGTTTTCTCTTTTTCATTACATGTGTTAAGTTTATATCAGTATTTAAGTATTGTTAATCATTTCAATACTCCAATAGTATTTAAATGAGATACCAGGAGATGGGTAAATATCACTCAATGACTTCATACCCTCTTCTGGGGAATGGGAATGGATTAGTGAATTTTTGTTTGTATCAGGATAGTAATATCATGCTAAGTGGAACTATAACCTTGCTCTAGTCTTTGGTTAAAGATTAAATGTAGTTTTAAGAGATTCATGAGAAGAAAATTACCTCTAGATAGGGAAGAGAGGTAGGAGGGAAAAGGAGGGAGAAGGGGAATTGCACGGAAGATGGAAGAAGACCCTCATCATTATACAAAATACACGTGTGATGATGTGAGGGGAAAAAAAAAAGAAACATGTCACATTAGATTGGGTAGAGAGAAATGATGGGAGGGGAGGGGAGTGGAAGGGGGGATAGGAAGGGCAGCAGAATAAAATAGACACTAGTATTGCTGTATGTATATACGTGTCTATTTAACCAATGTGACTCTGCAACCTGTACACTAGGAAAAATGAGAAATTATACCCCATTTGATTCAAATGTATGATATGTCAAGATCATTGTATTGTCATGTGCAACTAATAAAAAAAATTAGGTGGAGAATCTTCATTGTATCCTGTAAGATTCTGGATATTCAGAATCTTACAGGATACAATGTCAATTAAAACTCAATGTCTTATTCTTTTAAAAAAAAAGAGAGAGATTCATATGAGACAGACATCATTACCCTAGGTACATGTTTGACTGAACATATGGTGCAACTCTAAATCATATACTACCAGAGAAATGAAAAGCTGTGCCCCATTTGTGTACAATGAACCGAAATGCATTCTGCTGTCATGTATAACTACTTAAAACAAATAAAAATGTAAAAAAAAAATACACAGCAACAATAAAAAAAAGAGAGAGATGCATATGGGTGCCATTTGACAAGGAGTCAACATACAATAATTGATTTTAGATATCAACTTGATTGAACTAAGGGATTCCTGGTAATCTGGTAAAGTTTAACTTATTCTCAATGCTGCAATAGACATGAAATCCCTTCCTATTCTGCCTAAAATGAAACTCAGGTGGTTTAGCATTTGGTTAGAATGGTTGGGCTGTCCTAGGTGTGTCTATGAAGGTACTTCCAGAGGAGAGAGGCAATTGAGTCAGTGAACTGAGTGGGAAAGATCTGTCCTTAATGTGGACAGGCATTGGATCAGTTAGGGGCTCAGATGGAACAGAAAGGCAGAAGGTGAGTATGTGCTTTCTCTCAGGGGCTGCATTACCTTCTTCTCCTACCCTTGGACATCAGAACTCCCAAGTTCTCTGACTTTTGGACTCTAGGACTTCTGCCAGTGGTTCTCTGGGCTGTCAGACCCTCAATCTCAGACTGCAAGTTCTGCCACTGGCTTCACTAATTAAAGTGAAAAATCACAATAAAGTTGTTGAAGAATGAATCATCACAATTATTTATCTTCTTCCTATTCTCTTAGACTCTGAACCTTGCTGTACCATGTAAGTAAAACTACTGTAGTGTATATATCTTCTTGTCTACTTCATGTTTATCCTGATAGCTTTATTCTAAAGCTCATTTAATTATACTTATCATTGTTCAACTTGGAGCATACATACCCCTTAACTGGCATATATACTCTTAATCATATGACAAGCCCAATTGTTTGCAATTTTTTAAACATTGTTTTGAATCAGTAGTTGTAAAGTTGTCTATTTAGAACCCAACAGAAAAATAATAGGTTTAGAATAACTTGAAAAGACCTCCTTCCCAAAGTCATAAAAATAGTAAACAAATTTCTTGGTTCTTGAGCTTTCTGATTGGATTGAGCTATACTCTTGACTTTCCCATTCTCCAGCCTGCAAATGCCTATCATGGGCCTGCCCAGCTTCTCTAGGCAAGGGAGCCAATTCTCCTAATAAATTCCCTCACATGTACCTGTCTATCTATATCCTATTGGTTCTGTCTCTTCTAAGAACCCTGACTAAAATACTTTCCAGATCGGAGGGAAAAATAAGAAAAAGCAAAAGATAATTCAATTTTTGTTTTGAATATTCAGGATTTTTTGTTTAAAAACATCTAAAGAAATGCTGGGCGCAGTGGTTCATGCCTGTAATCCCAGTGACTCAAAGCCAGCCTCAAGAATGGCGAGGCACTAAGCAACTCAGTGAGAACTTGTCTTTAAATAAAATGCAAATTAGGGCAGGGGATGTGGCTCAGTTGTGGGTGCCGCTGAGTTCAATCTCCAGTATCCCCCACCCCCCCAAAAAAATCAAGGGTAAAGGAACTATTGAATTTAGAAATATCCTTAGCATTTGTAATAGTGGACATGATTCTCCCCATTTCTGTATTATACTCATCTGCAATATAATTTTCATGTTCCCATCAAGGTGAGTCTGTTTCTCCACCCCAAGAGGTGAGGCTTGACCATCTGATTGCCCTGGAAAATGGACATGACAAGAAGTATCATGAAAGGTTTGCTCATTGGGGCTTATTCTCTTGCTGTTTTTTCTATTGTCATGTAAATAAGCCTAGACTAGCCTGATGGATGATGAGAGACATGTAGCCTAATCGTCCCCATGACCCCAGCCAACAGTCTGCCAACTGCCAGACATGTGAGTAAGGTGATCTGAGATCATCTAATCTTCAGCCAACTGATCAGCTGACCATGGACATGTGAGCCAACCAGGCATAGCCAACTCAGGCCAAGCCAGAGCAGCCTAGCCAAGTCATCATGAGCTGATTACACTGTTGTTTAAGCCCACAGTTTGGGGGTGGTCTGCTATGAAGGAAAAATTGCCTGAAATAGCACTAAGTTACATAATCGTTTTTCATTATTAGGTCAACAAACATCTACGAATGCCTTCTGTGAGTAAGGCTGACAGCTAGGCACAGAGACCCTAAGCTAAATAAGACATGGTTTCTACCCAGAGGAGCCTACATTGACAACATTGTTATGGACACCAGCAAATAGATGCAGTGCAGAATGATCAATATTGAAAAAAAAGTTTGACAATAAAGCAACATATGGGAACATAGAGGAAGGGTGATTTAATGACTTGGGATGGTCTAGGAAAAAAGCAAGTGAGGTCAGAATTGGATCCTCACCAATGAACCAGTCAAGTTGGGGAGAACATTTCATGAAGAGGAAATAGCATATGTGAAGACTCACAGAAAATAAAGGATATAAAGTGGGAACTGGTGACATATACAATGCAGCAGAATTATAGCGTGAAGGATATGGGAAAGATGGATGATTTAGGAAATCTGAGTTAAAACCTATTTGGCAATAAATCCTAACTATTATGGAAGAAAATAAGAAATCATTAAAGTGAAAAAGCACAATAAACTTTTTAAAGCATAGTTTACCTTCCTTCCTTCAATTATTTTTGACTTTGGACCCTGTCACTCTGTTTAAGTAAAGCTATTGTAGTGCAAGTCTCTTCTTGTCTGATTATCCTGACAGTTTACTTCACAGTACCAAACTTGCTCTGTTAAGCTCATTTAATTATACTCAGTATTGTTCAACTTGGAGCATACACCCCTTAATTGCATGTGTACCCCCAATTATATGACAGGCAGTTATTTGCCAAGCAATTTAACATTTTTAAAAACATTGATTTGAATCAACAATTTTGCAAAGTTGGCTACCTAGAACACTGTGGAAAATAATTGGTTTAAAGTGATTTGAAAATACCTGCTTCCCCAAGTCATTAAAATAATAGATGCATTCTTTGAGGTGATTTATGATCATGTTTACGTAACTATGAAGAATGCCTCTTAAAATACTTCAAGAATTATGTGAAGAAATATTTAAAGTGAATCTCTGCCTAAAGCCATCCCTCCTCTGGTACTTGTCCACTTGTCCATATGTCTGGCATAGTTATTAGATGATGACAGACAGAAAAAAACATAATAAATTATTGTGAAAGTTCAGAAATGAAACCACCTTCCAGAGTCAAGCCAATGGTTGATGAATGAACAAACGGATTGACAAATTCAGCTTCAATTTCACTAAATATAAAATGAGAAACTAAATGATCACTGAGGTTCCAATCAATCCCAAAATTCAAGTAGCATTTTTCCCACACACAAAAAAATACAAAACATATGCATCAGTTCAATTTATTCAGTCTTGCCTAATACATGATTGCATTTGCTCTTTAAAAGGAACACAAAGTATAAAACTATAAAAATAATCCTGAAAGTTATACAGTTTTTTTCAAATTATGATTTTAAAAACAGCTCTTTTAAAAGTGATTGCTATGTGCCACAGTCATAACAAAATGCAAAAAGATGAAAAAACAATCTTTAACATAGAAGCCAATTAGCCACAGCTGTATTAAATATAAGGAAATTGAGCAGAATTACAGCTTTATTTCTGCTGCTGTCATCCATACTTCTGTGATGAAATTAAGGAATTTTATAGAGACTTTTAACTGAATAAGTTTGTCACATTACCAATATTACAAATCATTTCTAAACCATATCTTGAGCATTTCACAAACCTTGGGAACATGATACTTTCGGGATTTGATAATGACTATAAATATCACATCCTTTTTTCAAAAACAATAAGGCAAAATAAAATAAATAAAATGTGCCATTTTAAAAGTGTATTATTTGGTGGCTTTTAGTACATTAGCAATATTACTCAAATCACCACCACCTTGTTCTAGAATATTTTCATCACTCCAAAAGAAACTCCATGTTCATAGTCACTCTCCTCCTTGGCCACCACTAATCTAATCTGTTCTAGAGGCTAGCCTCCTCTTGGTACTTCATATAACTGGACTAGTATAATGTGTGGCCTTTTGTATCTAGCTTCATTCACTTAGCACTCCCTCCCCATGAGTACCATACCCTTTTGCATTGAGGATAAAGACAATTATTAATGTAAATCAAACTATTAATGTAAAGCATGAGAAAAAATCCACTGGAAACTAAACAGCATGAGGTAAGTGAATGAGACAGTTCAGTTTTATTTTCACTATGGACTGGTGCTTAAACAATGATCAAGTGAACAGTACAATTTTACATTTAAATACAAAATAAAAATCTTCAGAATTCATGTCCACTGAATTATGAATCACTCAATGCAATTTCATGTTATGGCTGTTTTCATAAAGCTATTGGAATATTGTAAGGAGTCAGTACCGTTCTCTACTTATATCAAATCCCTTATTTTATTAGGAATACAGGTAGTAATTTTTAAATCATCAATTGAATTGATGTAAAAAGATGGTACTATTATTTCATTTTCTCTGGAGTGATTTAATAAATAATATGGTTAAGCCACACTTAAGTTATAAAATTAAATAAGCATTAATTACTATTAATATAAAAAAGATTTCAACAGAAAAAAAATGTTCTACAACAGCAGAGGGCAGGCTCTCCTTTTAAACTTCAATCTTTTGAGCAATAACAAATCTGTTGCTACTGTTCTCATATCAGTAGGCCTTAGAATTACTATTTTAAAATGTAAAATTAATGTCACCTTTTGACTAGGAGTGCAAAACACTCTCTGACTCGAGTCAATTTCTGTGCCAAAAGTTGAATACATTTATCAACTTTGCCTGTTTAAAACATTGAGGGGGGGGAAAATTAAATTCTAACTATGTATATCAGAAAAAAAAAAATTAAACCTGATGAATGTGTTGGGAAAGGACGTGACCTGATGATTTTGGTCCCAAGATTTCAACAAAAATGAAGTTTTATTACTTTCAAACACATAAACTATCACTACCACTAGAACTAGCCATGCATTGAAGAATCATTTCCTTTCATATCTGCATGCAAATGAATTAATAAAGTGATTTTGGAGATACTTAAAATTATATTGGTGTTGGGGGTGGTGGTGAACATCACATTTCCCTTGTCAGTTTGCTTCAGGTATGCTTTTCTTCATAGTAAATAATAGAGCTTGTCAAAAAGATTAAAAAATTATTTTAAAAGATTTGCATCGATTAATTTTACAGAGCATGTTCATGAACCTATCTTGTAATCCATTTCTTTGTAGTATTTTAACTTTAAAAAGTTACTATCCACATAATACATTGGAATATCAAACATTCTGAACATAAAATGTCCATTTTGAAATGTTCCAAGGTACAAAACACCTCAAGATGTTATCCCCCTTACCGAGACATATTGATCAATTTTAATGATTGTCATTGTATATATTACAATGAATTTATAGAATTTCTTCAGTCACTGATGCAATAACATTTTTGTACAACTTCAGCAAACTGCCTAATTTTGCAAAGGATTTTCAGAGCAACATATCACACCTCACTCATTTCTACTTTTCTTTTGCTATTACACCAAACTTTCCAAAACACAGAAGGAACCAAATATTCTAGGTATTTATTCTATTGATAATTACCCAAGTAATTTCCTTTTGTCTAAATATCCCTTCTCTTTCTACATTTAAGTGGGAAAGTGACCTGTTTCAGGGCACATATCATTCAGAGATGAGATATACCCATCAGTACAGAAACATTCAGTAAATCAATATTCTCACCCATAAAATGCAAGGTTGATCTTTTGAACTTGATCCTTTAATTAAAAGGAAACAATTAGGTAAAAGGTGACTTCAAAAAGAAAGAGAAACCATTCTTCCTTTTCTCTTATTTACTAAGGACTTCACTAGAATTGGCCTAACTCAAACCTTCTGGAAATGTTTTAGATAAATACTAACAAATCTACCAGTAAATTAAACACATTGGAATAGATGTGTGGTTTACTTTAAAGGCATAACTAATATATTCAGGCTTCCTAGGCCTTATGAAATGTTAAATAACACTACTCACAGCAGCAATGAGATAACCAGTCAGGCACATATCAGGAAAGATCTTTCCATCAAAAACATTTGTCCAGAGAACAGGGGCAAATTACTCCCCTTCTATTGCACTTCTAAACAACCAACTCTGTAGGTTCCAGTCATATCACCTCCTAATATGGTAAGTCATGGAGGAAACACATTTTCAATGTTTGTGTCATTTTTCTTTAGGAAATTTTTAAAAATTAATAAGGAATAGGGTTGTGGCTCGGTGGTAAAGCGCTTGCCTAGCATGTGTGAGGCACTGGGTTTGATTCTGAGCACCACATAAAAATAAGTAAATAAAAATAAAGGTCCAGCGGGGCATGGTGGCACAGGCCTGTAATCCCAGAGGCAGAGGCAGGAGGATCCTGAGTTCAAAGCCAGCCTCAGCAATGACAAGGCCATAAGCAATTCAGTGAGACCCTGTCTCTAAATAGAATACGAAATAGGGCTGGGGATGTGGTCAGTGGTTTAGTGCCCGAGTTCAATCCCCTTTTCAAAAAAAAAGGTCCATTGACAACCAAAATATATATTAAAAATAATTAATAACCGTATCTCTTTTCAGTTTGGGATGCAAAACATGGAGAAATCTGTTTGCATTTTTCACCTAGAAGTATTCAAATCCCCACAAGTAAAATCTGTTATCAATATACTAATACAAACTACTGTATCTTCAAGGGGTATGAGAAACTCTAGTATCTTAAACATTACTAAGACCCCAATATCCAAAGTTAAAGGACAGATGATAGGAATAGCCTTAATGGAATATGCACAAAGACCAAAAATAATTCTATACTACTGATAAACCAGAAAGTCGATCTTTAATCTTATTGATAGGGTTGAAGGGATCCCTACAAATACTTTAGTAGGATTTAATTTGGAATTTATCTACTTCTACTCTCTTTGCTTATCCTACAATTCTAGTACGTTCACATCACTCTGCAACCACTAAACAAGTGTGACTATGCTAAATGTTAGTACTAATGAACTAAAATGTACTCTATTCTTGCCTTTGAACAGAAGAAACACCATAAAATACTAGTGAAGTTTAAAATACTAGTGACAAGTTTTTATACCCAATGTATTTTCTCATATGGCTCTAAGACTGAGACAACATATATAATTTAACTATTAACACAATCATTACTCTTAATTTTGGATTATACATTCGTACAAACACATATATATCCATTCCAATAACACATCAGAGGGTAGAGATAGTATGTCTTCCTCTAAGATCTTATTTTTGTGTGTGCATCAGAATCACCTGGAGTCCTTGTTAAAACAGACCATTTGTTCTTACCCCAAGTGACATGTGAGGGGGAAAGGAACAGAGAGAAAAAGAGAGAATGAAAAGAGAGAGAAAAGAAAGAGCAAGCAAGCTATTAAGCAGTACTGGGAAAGGATAAAGAGAATAAAAGTGAATTTAGATATTTTCCTCCATTTTGATGCTTGCCCTTTATCTTTCTGGGTAGCAAAGACTTAAGCAATCAACAAAGACTTTGCAAATAAAAATCTACTAGGTCAACATACAAACCTCTTCGTGCTTAAGAGGACAAATAGGAAGTTCTGGTTTCAAGTTTTAGAAAAATAATCACACCACAATCTCTTAGCAGCCTTTTAATATCTCTAGATGGGCCTACTTTCAAGACACTCAAGGGGCAAAGAAAATTAACTAATAAGTTCTATATATTACAGAAAAATTTAGAGTTCACCAGTAAAACCTGAGCTAGCAATGATAATCAACCAGCAACTCCTGTAACACGCAGAAGAATCAACATTCCAGAAACAGTAAGACTGTGTTTTGAATTCATCAAACAAGTATTAAAATTTTATTTAAATGAAAGTTTTTCTTTTTAAGTTAATGAGACATATAAGGGGAAAATATTAATTTTATTAGAACTTAAACAAATGTTGCACAGAGAAAACATTTTAACAAAATGATATGGTGGCACAACAAAAAAGAGAACAGGGAAAGATGTGTAAAAGAAATATAAGGTGGAAAAATGTTAAATATTTCATGATTCAGTGTGGAAATAACAAATCTAAACCTAAAAACAATGGATTTTTAAAAGCACAACCATAAAACAAAAAGTTAATGCCTGTGCTAGGCTAACCACAAACATATTCTTCAGTAAAAGTTTAACAAAAGGCAGAGTAATACCTTATAGTATTTGATATCTCGTTTCTGACTTTTTCACAGAAATAGAGACTTCTTATGCCATTCAATCTCAGAATTAAAATGATAGTTAAGCACTGAGAAGTAAGTATTCTACTAATTAAAATGAGAGCTGAGGCAAAACAACTGATGAGTCTTTAATCCTATATTTTTGAACTATAATAAGAACTTGATCCAACCAAAACAAATCTTCAGCAATTCAAAATTCTTTACTGCCCAAGTAACACCTCTGCCCATCCTGATTGCCATATATGGGAATCATGGACCAGTGACGATAAAGCACTCTCAGGGACAAATGTAGGAAGTAAAAATATAATTCAACGTTGACATTTATAACCAGGAAGTGCATCACCATTTTAGCTTACCACATGCCAGAATTTACCTAAGACAAATTATTTAAGTATATGTCTCCATCTTTGCAATGTTTCCTAAATACTGATACAGCAAATTTATTCATTTTTAAAGTGACCACATCAAGTTAACAGTATAAAACTATAATAAAATACTTCAAGAATAGGCTTTTGAATATTTCTCTATCCTCCCTGGATCTTTTCATGAAGATACAACTCTTACTTTCTGGTAAAGAAGTGTATAGGAAATTAACTTGGAAATGTTTCAGAGAGATTGTCAAACTATGCAGGTCTCTGCTGGATATCTTACAAAGACAACATTAAATTCACATTTTTAAATGTCTTAAAACAATATAGACAATACAGCTGTATTTTTATAAACTACAAAAGGCAAAATTTTAAAATGCATATGAAAAAGTTAAGCCCTTTGCATTCTGAATATTTGAAATGTATTTGCAAAATATGCCAAATTCAAACTTAAAATGAGGTATATTTTTGTTCAAACATTAAATGTTTAGCAAATACACAATAACATGAATGGTTTCCAATTAAATTCACTGGCTTGTTTTTTGTTTGCATGTTTTTGCTTTAACCTGCCATAAAACACATGGCCACAAATCTCTGGATGTGGCATTTAATAAAAAGGAAAGCTGCCTGTGGTCACTCTGTATAAGTTTTAAGAACATAAGATGAAAACACCTTTGTGAATTATCTTTAAAACATTATAAATAGCATTACCAAACACTAGTTGTAATTTTAAATATTATGTAAGTATACTGGAGATCATCTGTGCATCAATAATTGTCAGAGGGGAACAACCAGATAATAAAAAACTTTATAAGGATCTTAGGGCAGTGCTTAAGCAATTGAAAGTGTTCATCTGAAAAACCTATGCAGCAAAAATTTGAATCAAAGTTTTGCTTTTTTGATTGTGTGGGCTTAACCCATAGAAAACATGAGGAATAAATTGGTCAGGATCTTGTTAGTTTTAAGAAGCAAAACATTTAAGAACCAAAATATGCACACCATCAAAAATACTAATTCTGAAAATTATGTAACTAAGATTAAATCACCCTGTCCAGCAAGTTCCAAAAATGCCACACATTTCAAACATTAAGGCGATTATTTTTCCAACTAAACAGTACTTTATAAAAATATATATCACTTCAAAACATATATATACATAATGACATTACATTTATCTAGCTGTACTCTTTAATACATTAATAAAGTATCACATATTACAAAGAAATTATACTAGGTGTTTGCATGTGTATGCAGGTAGTTAGTTTTTAAAGTACAGGTTTTAAAACTGAGCGTAGTGAACGTCCTTCTTTAGTGAGTTCTCGAGTCACACACATACATGGCAATGGGATTGCTTCCTCCCGTTTCTCTATGATATTGTAACTGCATTTCTTCAAGTGGTCAGCCATGCTTAAGATGTCAGCAAATTTCCATTCATTAACTGAACAAAATGCAGTACTGAATCGCCATACCTAGAAGAGAACTCTACTTTAGATTTAAACAAATCAATTTACAGAAAATCAAAATGTATTTCTTGCTCTAACTGCATATATATCTTGTTAGAGAAACATCCAATATAAAGTTTCAAATAGTTACAAAATTTAAAAGTAAATTCATTTTCAAGTAAATTTGTCAAATTTATAAAGACAACTCACTTCTATGAGATAATGACTTCAATACATTTAATAAACAACCCCTCCCCCCCAAAAAAGAACAAAACCCAACATTAAAAATCACTTCCAACCTGGCTTACTGGACAATTTTTTAAAAATCATAACTTCATAAATTCAAGGTCACTTCCCAGAATAATATCTACTATGCATTATTCTTTTCCATCTATTCAATTGCCTACACAGAACTACACATGGTCTGGATATATTGAATAGTGTTTCGTTTCTTTTCATGTTCTTCTCCCATTCCTATTACACCACAAAGTGTAGTAAAAATCACTTATCTTTCCACTACTCAAGAATACTGAAGGTACCTAGTAATACTCAGAAACACATTTGTTGAAATGCTTCTAAAAATTTACATATAGTTCCTATAAAAGGGATCCTATTTTCATTAAAAATGTGTCTTTAACTAAAAATGTGTCTTTGTTAAAAATACGTTTTAGGGCAAAATGCTAACCTACCATCTGTGTACATATGTCTATTGGTAAAAATATGGGCACTCCCTGTTTTTTCCCTAGTCAGCAGCCCAGGCCCAGAAGCACTAACATCTTATTAGTGCAGCAATGACCACTGTGACCCCATCTCATCATTACAATTGAAAACAAAGCCACCCAAACAAAAGTAATAAGCATGAGAGCAGAATAAGGGAGACACGTAATCATGAATCAGACAGGCAGCTCTAGGTATCCTAGCTAAGTTTATCAACAGGCCAATGTTTAGTTAGAGAACACAGAATGTAATTGTCCCTTGGTATCTGTGGGAGATTGGTTCTAGGACCCTTCCTTGCAAGAACCCAAAATCTGTGATGCTCAGGTCCCTTCTATAAAATGGTATAGCAATGACTGTTGTGGTCCCCTTATATAAAGATAATTAAAAACAAAGCTACTGACTTGCACAAATTATGTATTGATTCCTCATCTGCTAAGTAGGCATAGTGGATTAAATAAGTTAATGAAAGTAATGATGTATACTATATACCATATTATACGTGGAGATGTGGATATTAGAGATAGTATATTCAAAGACCTTAGCAAGAAAGAAAACACACCAGGAAACAATAAGCATGTCAATCTTGACTGGAATGCAAAGTGACAAGAAGAAACTGAAGAGGTAAGGATGAAATTATGAAGTTTTTAATGTTTTATTAAGGACTTGGCCTCTATCCCAGGGGAAATGGCAAATATTAAAGAGTTTTAAGCATTGCAATAACAGTATAAAAACTGTATTATGAAAGTATGAATATTCTAACTCTTGTATAGATAATATGTTGGAGTGGGGCCCAATTGGAGGAGGAAGCCCCGCAGGAGGAAGCTGTAGTATTAATCCAGGAGAGAATCAAAGCTTAGACTGAACTAGGAAAATGGCAGTGAAAGAGAAGAAAACATAGGACTTCAAAATTACCTAGATATGGCAAAAAAGGGGGAAAATATCAGTCAAGCCTATCTCCCAGATCCCTGGTTTAGGCAAGTAGGTATACTATGATGCCACTCTGAGATTAAGAAGAGTAGGGGAGTAGAGTGAATTGGACATGTTGAGTCTGCATAAACTGTGGGGTAATCAAGGAGAGATGTCCAGCAGAAGCTTGTGTGCAGTGGGGTCTGGAGCTCAGTAGAGAAAAAGGTCAGTTTATAGACATGTGAGTAATCTGTGTAAATGATGGCAATTTAGAAGACTAGATGAGATCTCGATAGGAGTTTTAAAATCTCCAGAAGACATTCTATCCTTTTTGTTAACACCAGTGAAGAAGGATTAAAAAAAAGCCAGACATAGAGTTCTATCCCAAAGGGGAGAGAGATACCAAGTCATCCAGAAAACAAAAACACACAGAAACACTGAGCTAATGAAGCTTTCTGCCACCGTAATTACCTTTTGGCAAAAATTATAAAACAATTTGTGTGTTCATTTATTGGTCAAAAATCCTCAAGAGAACAGAGAAGTAGCTGATGGAGAATTCAGCAAAGTTGGAGCAACAAGTAAAAGACAAAAGCTAAGGGTGCTAAAAATAAAGTAATCAGAAATTTGAATACTATACAACCAAATGTTTCATTTATCAAAATTGTTTCTACTTTATAAAATGTGAAGTTTCATATTATAAGTGTTCTAAAATGAAAACCACCTTTAATCACAGATATCTGTAATACCTTTTCTCTCCCATGGGACAGTGCCTCAAATACAAGGTAGACAAAAGTCGAGTACTATAAGAGAGAAATGGTGGAGCCCAGACTTGTTTTAGATATGTCTAAATCTCTAGCTCCAGTTCTCAGTGTGTTACTCTTTTGTACTGTACTAAATTCAGTCTCCACCCACAATATCAAATTCTATTGCTCTATCTTTATCTTATCTCACTTCAGCCTAAGACACTTTCTCATCCATCCACTCATATCCCCTGGCCCCTTAACACTCCCCTGGTCACTTACTAGAATGAATATAGCAACAGCTGTGCCTTTTTCTCATCTCTCTCCATTTGGATTCCATGTGAAACAACCAAGTCCCAATAAAGAAACTGCTAAGAATGGAAAGAAACTGACCAACTGACAAAGTAAGAAAAACCCTTCTCCTAGCTTCTTCCATTGTCTAATGGTGACAGTGTTTCAGATAGAGCCCAAATTTAAAAAGAGGGTAAATGAAGGAAGTTATTACAGAAGAATTGAGGGGGTACAGAAGAGCTCACCTGAAGAAACAGAAGTGGCCTTTGCCATATTAGATTAGAATCTATATTTAGGAAACAAATTTCTGCAATAAATTTGTGATTATCACAATTCTAACTATTCTAGTTCTTCATTAATTATCACTTTAAAAATGTGTCATTATATTAACTTAGTAAATTTTAAGGATGATCAATTTTTCAACAAGCTATTAACTATAGCAATTCAGCAGCATTAAAGTGCCTACTTCATGTCCAATAAAGAAATTGACACAATTAAGATTAAACTAACCTTTTCCTTTATCTGCCATGATGAATTTCCTTCTGGATACTTCTTTTTCCCCCACTGCAGTATGACCATTCCACGAGACTGAAGCAGACTGCCACATACATCCCTCATTAACCTGGACACACATGAGAGCTGGCATAAACTGAAGCCATCGAGAAAGCCTGCAATATGTTGTAGGACCTCAAAGGGAAGACTACTTAGATGGTCATTATGTAATCCCAACACACAGTTTCTAGAAGGTTCTACTAATACTGTAGATACACATGGCTGAACTCCAAATGACCTCAAATGACGGTCATGTATAATCTTTGCTCCTTGTGTTGATGGACAAAATCTACGCTGAGAATAAGTACAACCATAATAGGCTAAAGGGCACCGCTGTTCCATCCAGCCATTGAGTCCAGCATGAATGTCACCATGTACATTCTTAAAATGTGAAGAAAATTCTTTTCTTCTAAATAACTGTCCACACACAAAGGTAAACATTGAACGCTGCTTAGGTTGATACCTAGCAACACATTCCAATACTAAATCCAACCCAAGTGTCTGAAAAGGACTTGGATTTGAAAGCTGGGGATTGGCATGATCACAAGCTGAAGCTGAAGCTATTTCCCCAACCATTGTATTTGTAGCTAATATTGCAGATGGAAGCGAAAAAGTCTGCGTCCCAAAGTCAATATGATATACATCAACCATGCGACTATCAGATATACCCCTCCCACCTGGAGAATCTCCTAGACAGAACAGTAATGCTGCTGTAATCAGATCTATTCCTTGGAGGCCCATAGGATCTTCAGCAACTTCCAAATCTGATGTATCTACTGCTTTATCTTCTTTTGGTTTAGACCAACATGAATTAGAAAGAAATTTGAATGAAGGAGCATGACTGAAAGATAAGACATCCACATTCCTCAAGTCCCCTAAGTCTACTTTTCTCCAATACAGTCCTCCTTCATCTTCATCATCTGGCATGAGGATATGCTGAACGGTGCCATTAGGTAAAGCACTGGAGGGTATTACTTCTCTAAGTTGTGCTGCTACTGAAAGTGAACTGGAAGATTCTGCAGTACCATCTGATGCCACACATTCTCCATTTGTTAAGCTACTTTGTTTTGAATCAACTTGAAAATTCTGATCCTGGTCTTTGACCTGTGTACATACATTTTCCAAAGGAAAGCCATTACAAAGAACAGAAGTGCCATAAGAACCTGCATTCAAGTCACACAATAAATCACTTGAACCATTTTGCTCAGACTGGGCATTCTGACTTATGCCAGTATGGTCGATTCCACCTACTGCCCCTATCTCATCCTCATAAGGATGATCCTGGTCTTTCAAGTTTCTATCCTGCAAACTTTCTCTGTCATTTTGTTCTTCATTCATTTCATCTGGGGTAGTATGAAGACTTGTATTTAACATGCCAATGTCTCTTGTGGCAGTATTCAAGATATCTAAAGCAGCAGCCAAACTTCTGGTTGTTTCTACAGTAGCTTGATAAAGTGCACCATAAGATTCTTCATCAACAGATACCAAACCATTAGCATGTGGTATTTCAGAGACACTGGATTTAACTGAGATTTGTTCTCTAGGTTCAGATACTTTATCAGTAGCTTTTGACATCATGGTGGCTACTTTGAGAGATTCTAAGAGCATCCTTTGGTCTTGAAGAGCCAAGGCCATATCTAATTGAGCCACTTCATCAACATCTCTGCTTAGATTTTCATATGATTTCCGGTCCGCATAACTAACTGGCCATCGGTTCCATTCCATAGTACAGCATACCACACTTGCAGGACACATTTCAAGATGTTCAGCAACTTTATTTCGGGTCATGGTAAAAGGACATCCAAAGTCACTATTTAAGCAAGGCACTCGTTCAAATGGACACAGAAGCCGGTGCTCATTAGCTTTACAAGAATGGAAAACTGCTCCACAAACCAAAGGACAACCAATCAAATCACAGGAAATCCCAGGCTCTGGTCTGGTCATACACCGTCTACTGACACAATTCACACAGTGTGAATGCTGCAGCTCCTCCTCCATAATGGTCAGTCCAGCTCTAGTGTTAAAATAAAAGAGAAAAGAAGTTAGACAAAAAGTGGTTGATTTTCAAACTGCTCAATAATATAAATTAAATCACTGATTCATCGTATCTTATTTAAAGATATATCTAAACATATTTAATTAATTTTATATTTAATCAATATATCTTGAAAGAAATTAAGAACTTCAAGTAACATTTGAGTATTTTAAAATGTCATAAAGAAAGTACTGACATGTGGGAAGTATACAGCATGTAAAAATATACATAAAAAGCATATTATGTCTTTCAAAATAATACTTAAATTATAGTACTGTGTAGTATATAAATTAATACCAATAACAAGTTAATGTGTACTTCAACTTTCAGATTTTAGAGGCTGCTTTAGTTTTTGCTTTCCTTCCTTTTCTTTTTTATAATTTTCCCAGTGTTGGGGACTAAACCCAGGGCCTTATACACACTAGGCACACACTCTACCAAGGAGCTAAACCCCCAGCCCAGCTTTTACCTTTTTAAAGTGATTGTGATATGCCTGATATTGCAGAGACATATTCATATTCCATACTCACTTCAATTTCATTACTATTACCAGTCAAAACTTTACTATAAGTTTTCTTTTTATTCTTCTAAATATATGAATTAACGTACAATTAAATCTACTAATCTCTCCTTCTACATATGCCTAATAAATTCTCTAACAAATTAACAGGGTAAGGCTTAATTAAAATACACAGAGAATTTATCAAGAAAATAAAAGTTCTAGCTCAAGCTCTATATCTGTGGGTAAAACACTTCTAAAGACCTCAGTTTCCATTCATTCATTACATCTATTTATTGTTTAGCTACTCTGTCCTAGGCACTGCATTGGTGTGGCAACAAAGATTTACTGAAAAATTTTTTTACTGTTTTTTTTTTTGGGGGGGGGGGTATGGGGTCTTGCTATGTTGACCAGACTGGCTCCTGAGAAGCTGAAATTACAGATGTGTGCTATCATGACCATTTTTCAATATAAAGACTAGTAAATCATAGAGCCTTTTCTCAACAGCAGGAGGTTGGTGACAGTAAAAATCCTATCACATTTATAAAATAATCAGTATGGATAGGGGTTAGAGAAGAATGCACAGTCTTGAAAGATGAATTGTCTTTAAGTATGGATCAGTAAACTGGTAAGGGAGGCATTCCATGCTAAAAATAGCCTGTGCAACTGAAAAGAAGCATGAATTGACAAAATATATTAACTCTTCCTAGTATTGTTGGGTCAAGGTAAAATATAAGGTAGAGCAACGAGGCCAGGTGGGAATAAGGCAAATCATGAGAACTATATGCTACTCTAGGGAGTTCAGATTTCTAGTACTTGTAAAATAATATCAATACATTACAGATATTTAATGGTCTTTCTTGCTTTTTAAAGCTAGTATAGAAAGCATAAGCACATTTAATTATAAGTGAGCTTATTCAATGAATTTTCTATAATTAACTTTTTTATTGGTTTTTGTTAGTAAAAACAAAATATACCATATTCCTTTTGCCACCATTCTTATTTGCTACTCAATCACATGTTCAGAAAGAAAAAAAAAATCTTCTAATCTCCCATACATTGCTGAAACCTCTTATCTGGCTTTATTGTTACTACTCCTCAATAAAACTGCTCTATTGAGATCCTCCTAAAATTAAAGGGCTTTTTTTTTTCCTCAGACCCCCATTGTCCCTGGCCCTAACATTATAATGACTAATCCCTTCTTTTTGAACAGTCATCTTTCTTTACTTTACATGCTGTGTACACTTCTCCAGTTTCCTAACTCTCTAGCTATTCTTTAGTCTTCTCTTAAAAATTACTCTTCTTCAGGGTTCCAAATTATTCAATCTATACATTTCTCCATTCATTCTATAAATTCTTTCATTTTTTCGCAAGTCTCTATTATCAGTCATATGCAGAAAACTAATTTATACATCCTGCTCAGACACCTCTTCCCAACTTCAGACCTCTCTTGCTAATTATTTATTATGTGTTTGTGCTTGTGGATGGTATGGAAAACTCAACTCTATTATTTCCCAAATTAAATTACATTGTAGTATTTAATTCTCTAGAGAAGAAACAGATTCTTAACCCATTTTCTTCACTCATGAGTAAAAGTTACTGCTAGTTCTCTGGGGTTTTTTCCAATAAATTCTATCTTGGTTCCAAGTGGCTAAAGTAATTGCTCCCCCAAATGCTACATGTTTTTCTCCAGTTGAAGCTTGATTCTAAAGGAGCTTTTCCTAATTAGGAATGTTCAGAGTTGATATTATGATATTCAATGATATCATGACAAAAAGGTACACATTCAACACCAACACTATGTTTTTACATTGTTTTTAAATTACAAATTATGAATTAAATACTTATTTTTACTCAAAATATTTATAGGCAAGTATATAACCTATAAATTAAAAATAGGCATGCTAAAAGAATCATAATAGAATGACAAGTTAATGATAACAAATACTTGTAATTTAAGCAGATATTCACAGAAACTTTAATAAGAGGACAATCTTACTGAGGGTCACACTTTGAAAACAGCTGTAGCTGTCTTATTTTGTAACAACTAGACCAAGTTCATCCCACATGCTGAAAGTTATAAGCTTGACTGCTACTAAGAGAGAAACCTAAAAACAAACAATTTCAACTGAAGTGACCACTGCTCTAAAGACTTGTAGGGACAGTTGATGTTACACTACACACCATCACAAGGACGACACCAAGCAGAACACATCTTAAAATTCAATTCAAAAGTATTTAAAATAGCAACTGCTGAAATCCTGAGTTAAACAGCAACAACTTTCAAAAGGAAAGTAGAGGGTTCTCAAGCTTCAAAATAACTAGCCTCTTTTACACTATTCCTCTCTGAATAAGAATATAAACAATAAAAATAATGGAAAAAGAAAGAATCCATAGCTACAAGTCCATAATGCTTATTATGTATTGAAATAGACTTAGAAGAAAAAGAGAACACTATTTATTTTACTTTATCCTTCTTTGCATATATTAAGTCTCTAAATCCTCATAATGACTCAGAGAAAACAGGTTCAGAAGTGACTTGCCCAAGGACATTGACCTTGTTAAGTGGCAGAGATGGCAGCACTTAAATCTGTATCTGATCAATATACAAGGGCAATAAGACATGTTTCCTTATTAAAGTTTAAGAAAATAAGGCAGCTCTTCAGTAACTAGTTTCAATTTTAAGATGTTATTTGCGGAACGGAGATTACACAACTTTACTTGTGGTTTATTCCAACACTTAATCACCCTGTGGTCAAGAAAGTCTTTTTGGTCCTTTCTAATTATAAAAGCATATTACTTTGCTTTGAATGTATGTGTTTAAAATTATTTTTAAACTAATTTACATTGGTAAGGTTCAACACAAACATATGAAACATTATTAACTTAATAATTCTCAAAATAACTTTACAAAGGAGCAATCACATTAAATTTCATTTTACAATTAAATATATTAAGAATAAGAAAATATAACAGTCATGCTGGGGAGCATTCTGGGGAGAGAGCCCTCAGCTTCAAAATTTAAAGCTTTCCCAGATCCATCTTCTTTTTAATCAGGATTGCTGGCCATCAAATTAAAAACATCTTCATAAAATATTACACAACTACTCATAAATCCTGTGAAACAGGTTTAAAATCATCAATCCCTGATTTCTCAGTGGAACAGTGACAGAGCAGGTCCAATTAGAAAACATGTTGCTCAAATTAAAGGATTCAAGTTCAAGATGAGTTTAATTTGAAACAATGTTTTTTTGAAAAATCTATTTCCAATCAGGATTTTTACCTGCCAAATCACATCTTTACTAATTTACACTTAAATATGAGTTAGTGGAAAGTTTTACTAGACTAAAAACTACTTGTAAACAATGAAATGCAACTATTTGTAAACAATAAAATGCTTTACAATATTTTTATTTATTTATTTATTTATTTTGTCTAACAGACATTCCTTGCCAACTCATACTCTGTGGCTGACAAGCAATCCTTAAAAATAGTTTTAAGACATGGCATTTTCCCATACAATAAAATGAGAGCTGGTCATTTAAAGCATAGAGATAGTGCCCCCCAATATTTTTTCAAATTCATCCAAATGCATATGGAAATAAGTAAATGAAGAATTGTAAACCTGCATGATTTTAAATTATGCTAATGTACTCAAAACAGATGACTACCTCAGGGCTGTTCTTATTGTCTGCTCATCTCCTAAACAGACACAGATACACAGGCTTCCCCTCCCCACATCATGCTAACTCAACTCTTTGGTCTCTGCTTTAATATTACCTTTCTATGTACCCCAAAGCAAGGTAGGATCCCTTACTATGTGTGTTCATTATACAGCTGCACTTTCCCTGATGATACTAATGACAACTCAAAGGAAATCATTATTCTGTTTACTATCTCTCTCCACAAGAAAACTATAAGGCCTTTGAAAGTCAGGACCATCTCTGTCTAATTCATTCTTGTTTTCTCTGCATTCAAAACTCTGCCTTGATTACAGATTCATGTAAACACGGGTATGAAAAATTATAATAAAAGAAAATAGTAAAATGGGGTTCCAAAACAAAGAAAAGGAAATATCTACCTCCCAGTTGTTCTATTATTTTAATTCCCTAATCAGCCTAGCAGGCTAGTTATTGGGACAATAAAAAGGCACCAGGTTCGAAAATAAAAATAAGTAAATGTCTGCATATGCTCAGATGCCATAGTAAGGTACAAGGTGAGGAAAAACTCAAAATAGGAAGAACATCAGCCTACTGTTTAATATTACAATTAACATGGTATTAGATAAAATAAAAATCTACTTAAACAATAACATGCTGTTCCAATGTAGGGCTGATGTGGAAACAGATGTGTTCCATTAATCAACCATTATTACAAGAAAGTTCATAATTGAAATTTCAAATTTAGCAATCAGTTCATCTTTGCATAGTCAGAGGTATTAATGTACAATAAGTACAAATACTTGCTGAATGATTTGCTTATCAGGTACACTCACAGTTTTAAAGATCAAAGTAAATCTACACCTTTGCAGGACATGGTATTCACTGTTTTAAAAAGCAGGCAGGGTGGGGGTTGTAGCTCAGTGGTAGTGTTTTTGCCCTGTTTTGCAGGGTCCTAGGTTCAATTCCTAGCACTGAAATTAATTAAGTAATTTAAAAAGGGGGAAGTGGAGGTGGCTAACCAAGATAAGAAATATACTGTAGTTCAATTCTCACCTCAAAGCACATGCTCCCATTCCAAATTGGCTTACAGGTTACAAGGTATATTCTTTTATTAAACTTTGATCCTGGCTTTTTAAAATTTTTCTTCAAGTGTTTATCCTTCCAAATATGATATAATCAAAACATACGTCTTCCATTTCTAAATATGGTCATGGTCATGAACAGCTCATTCCAAAGTGAAAGTTCTAACTACTTACAATGTTCTCCATTAAATAAACAAATGAAATTATAATAGACTTACATCAGAAATTGAAATAATATTAGTAACTATTTAATACTCAGACGAGAGCCTAATTGAGTTGATACTTAGATAAAAATAATCCACCCAAATGCGAAAACTCAGTTTATTAAGATGGGTATCATGGTACAGGGAATGGGCTTACAAGGAATCTTAGTTTTTTGACCTTGAGGCAACTAATCTGCTCTGAAAATAATCTAGAACTCTGTGAAGTTTGGTTACAATTACATGTGTGTCCAACAGGATATAAACATGTAGGTCTCAGAAACAGATGCAATCCACTTTACAAACTAGCCACATTTAAATAAAGTTTTATGTATAATTATTTTTATGTGGTCGTTTAAACTTACAAAACTTACTAAATGCAGTTTGTGAGGAAGTACTATACTCCCACAGGTCTGGAGTTAACATTACTCAGTGTTTAAAAAAAAAAAAAAAAAGATTTTTTTTGGTAAAAGACTTTTTTAATTGAGGTGTGCTTGTCTGTATCTAACATCCACCTACAGCTACCTACAATACAGAAGCAACTAGTCCAAAGTGAATCTCATCTATTTTATCTCAATGAACTTGAATTAAATATTTTATATAGGCTGACTCAAGACTTTATCATCAAAGTGTTGTACAACTACAATGCCATTCTACAGTAAAATGCTCAGCAAGTACTAACTCCTTTTATCAACATAAGCAGCCTGGGAAACTCATTTAAAGACTATCCAAAATGATATGGAATACCATAGTTTATCCTATGTGAAAAATTATATCTTAGAAACATGTTTTATCAAATAGTAAACACATGCCTATTTTAGTGACCTTAAGTTACTAAAGGCAGAATCTCAAAATGTTAACTATTATTTATATAGTATTGCTTTTTAATGCTATTTTATTTGGGCACAGCATTAGGGGGAAAAATAAAAAGTCCTCCAATGCTAAACCTATATAGAGAAGCAATGGCTTGAAATTAATACCCAGAACGATTAAGATACATAGGCAAAGTTCAGTTTTCTTATTCACAAAATTCCACCCACTTCTACTAGAAACACACACACACACACACACACACACACACAAATGGTTTATTTGACCACATTAAAGCCTCAGGTTAAAAAAAAAAAAAACTGGCAATTTAAGAAATTAGCAAAACACCATGTTATCACCAATTAAATTTCTACAGTGAGAAACAGTGACTAAGCATAAATAAGAGTGATGCAGCGAAAACTGTACACTGAAATTTACCCCTTAAAAAAATCCTAAAAGTCTATTTTATGCTACTCTTCCTTTTGCCAAGTCGACAACTTCACTACTTTGGAAACCCTTACAGGAGGAGCAAAGGCAAAACATGTTAATATAATTTACTGGGTCTCTAAAGAGTACAACACAGTACTGAGATTTAGAAAGTTTTAAGTTTTTTATTAAGAGTTTTAAGTTAACCTACACTGATATCAGAATGCCCATAAATAACTTCATCTTGGATCACAGTCAATAAAGTAACCATGGAATAAAAGGTCAATTCCTTCCCAAGCATCTTGACTTAACAACAGCGCTCAGAAAGAAAAACAAGAGAAAGGGAGAGAGGAATGGAGTACTGGAGCCGTGGTAAACACGGACTGCTCGGTCACGTTAAGGGACATTCACAGACTACTTAGAATCCACCACGCGTTCCGCGTCCCCCTTCCAAGTAGCAGGACACGGCACAAATAACCCCGCAGGTCTGGAAAACCAAGAAGTTCCCCTTTAATAAGGACCGACGCTAAGGCAGATCCTCCCGCTTCCAAGAATGGAAAAGTTACCAACTTCTCTCATCCCGCGGAGACAGTTGATGATGCCTCCCAGTCTCACTTAACCCGTTTGTCCCCAAAGAACACAAGTTTCTAGGAGACAAAAGGAAAGCTGCTGGGTTTTCGAGGTCCTCGGACTTCGCTAAGTTACACTCCCCGCTCGCCCTTCCTCTGCACGCAGACACCAACAGAGGTGCCCGGGGTCGGCGCCCGGGGCTCGGGTCGCCATTTGCCGACCGCCTCAAGGGCCGGCCACGCGGGCGGCCCGGCGCGGACAGCGGCGCGGCGGACGCCCTCCGGGCCGACCCAGGACCCGCGCGGGCCGGCCACCGCCGCGTTACTGCCCCGCGGCGCGCCACCGCGTCCACCCCGCCGCCGGCCTCGCTCGGCCCCGCCGCCGCCCCCGTCCCGCTCAGCGCGGGCCGCGCCGGCCACCCGCGGGCCTCCGACACTCACCGGCGCGCGCGGCCGAACCGCGGCCCAGACCCAGGCTGCCGTGGCCGCCGTGCCCGGCTGCTCCGCACTGTCCCAGCGCTGCCTGGAGCCCCACACCCCCGTCTGGCCCGCCTCCTCTGCGCCTCACCCCGCAGCCGGGCCGCCGCCTTTTCTCTTCTCCGGGCCTGCTCCAGGGGCAGCCGCCCTCCTCCCGCGCCCCGCCCCGCTCCGCCCCGCCCACCAGCCCCAGCCGGGCGGGAACGCGCACGCAGGGCCCAGCGGGAACGCGCACGCCGCCCTCTGACTCTGCCACGGCGACGTGGCGTAGAGTGGGAAAGTCAGCTTGGAGAAGTGCTGCTCTGGAGCTAGACGCCCGTGGGTTCCCGGCTCGCCTGTGTAGCTCCCGGTAGTACTACCAAGTCCTGTTCAATTTTAGAATCTTACGTTCTTGGAAGGACTCCTAGACCCCTATTTCACTGTTGAGAAAACAGGCCCACGTACAGTGACTCGTTCTCCTCGCTAGACGTAGGAATTGCAGCTCAGCTCCCCAGGAGCACAGCGCGGTGCTCTTCCCATCAGCTCAGATACGCAGGAAATGGGTCGGCACTCGCCAGGGCCCTTCTCGCTGGCTTACCTAACGTGTCCAAGCCTTGGGATTTAGTGTCATTTTTGTGCTGTGACCCGTTTTCCCCTGCAGGATTCTGGCTGGATTCAGGCAGCAGAGTCATTCTGGAGCCCTAATGGGGAATACACAAATGTCTGCGTCCGTGAGGGAGTGAGACTTTCTCCTGCCAACTAATTTAACTGGGGAGAGAGCTTTTAAATGAGATAGGAATAGGGAATAAAAGGAGAGATACAGAATCTCAAAGGGAGTGCCCGAAATGCAGGAAAGCCCCACGAACCATTGAAATGTAAGAAAGATGCAACTCCCAGAAAGGAGCCCTAGTCTGCAAAAGTAACTCAGGGCAATGCACAAGCTCAACGAAAACTGGGGTTGAAATTGGGTAGCTCCACCCTGGCTCCACCTTTAGATTAGCCCCTAGCAACTAAATATTAACACCCCACACCAACCAGTAGCTGTCTCTCCCTCTGTAGCTAGCCAGCATGCTCCTTTGAATGCATATTGCCTTGCTCTATCCTAAAGACATCTCTCTTTCCTGAGATTGCCCCCATTCTCCTTGACTATGTATCTCCTTTAATAAAGAAATCTTGGTCTATGCCTTTGGCTTGTGCTCAAATTATTTTCCATCAAGTATGCCAAGAACCCCACTGATCCTGAGTCAAATTTCGTTGTCGTCGTGCCCTCCCTCCTCCACCCCCCAGTCTCTGAGAACTCCTTAAACAATTCTTTGTAGTCATCTCTTCTCTTGTGACAATACCACTTGTGAAAGATACGTTACAAATGACTGAAGATTAATGAAATACCACATGTCTGTATCAAAGAATAGAGGTCCAAACCTCAGTCTAAGACCAAGGGCCAGAAGAGACAGTGATTCAGAGTGCTGTCTGATGGGAGTCCCTCAACCAACATCCATCCTGTGGGCTCCTGTCCGCTCCTACCTCAAGAGAACTACAATAAAGAAATCGTAGTTGTAACTTGGCAGTATGAGTGGGGGCAGGGAAGGGAGAACACTGCTTTGTCATTTTTTTGTGGCTACATTTTTTTTTACCCCAAACTGATGTTCCTTGGAAAAGACAGTTCACACATAATTTGCAATCCTGCAGAAAAATCACTGACTCTCAGACTTTTGGATTTAAAAGGCCTGAAAATTAAAAACCAGTAATAACAAAAAAGACACCATCAAGGATCCCAATAAAACAGACCCCCTTACAACTAAGCAATGACTAGTTTCAGAAAAATAAGACAGCCAAGCTGGCTCTCAGTCACATGAGATTAACAGCCACACTAGAAAATTTGTAGTTAAAAAGTGAACTACTCTTCAAGGCTGTGGGAATAAGATAACATCCAGGTGATGGGAGGCTGGGAAAATCACTTCTGCCTTCTGCGATTATGTGGTCACAGTGATGCCAACTCTGAAAGTAATATTAGAGAATTTCCCAGATGATAAGGGCAACTCCAGGGGGTGAGGGCTTTAATAGTCACTAAAGTAACCCACAGTTACCTTTGCCTTATTAGCATAGTAAAACACACACCTGTAGGTGGAGGCTTGAGATGATAATGAGACAAGAATCATGATAAGGAAGAGGAAGGAAAAGACTGAAGTCCCATCTCTACATGTGGAGACACCAAGAGACCACATTCCTGCATTCCCCCTAGATGCCATGAAAGCTATTCCCTTCTGTACTTTGCTTTAGTCTGTCTAGAATCTCTGTTCCCGTGTGCTGTCTGCCTTCTACCTCTGGCATAAGCCCCCCACTCTTTGCTTTGCTAGAGCTAGCCTGGGGGTCACTTTCCCCAAAGTGCTGTCTCCCCTTCTGGCTCAAACAGAAGTCTTTAATAAAGCCTTACCCGTGTTTAAATTCTTTCTCATTTCACTGTTCCTTTCTATAACTCTGGATCCATGAACCCAAGGTCAGTAACAAGTTGAGTTAGCAACTTAGATTAATCACAAAGTAAAAGTTAGTTCTTTGAATAAATTTAGATTTTTTTAAAAAAAAATCAGTCTTGGGGGAGCATTTTATTATTTATTTATTTAGGGTCTGATATGTCTTCAGACAGGCCCTGGTCCTTCGTCCATAGTTTGAGAGCTATTGTCCAGAGAGCTAGATGGTAAAGCTATGGAAGCAGGCAAGTGACTGGTGGGAGAAGACTGTGGTTCTGCTGTTGTTTTGCCCAATTCTCTATTCAACTGCCCTGATTGAGTCACATACCCTTCCTTTCCTTCACTCACCCTCCTATAAATAAAGGGGACAGAGTATATGGTGTCTAAGTCCCTTTCCATTTTATTTAAAATCCCAAGATTCTGTAATTGAAATTTGGAACTTTCCCCTTTACTAAGTCATCTCCCGGACATGATGTCACCCTCTACCACCTCTGGCTGAGTCATTCAGGCTGGAAAAACCACAATCTTCTTTGCCCTTCCACCTTAATACTTTTCTATGTCCAGGAATTTTTTTTTTAATCTCTTCTTTCTTCTTGTCTTTCACATTCATCCCTAGTTTCTATCCTAGGTAAAGTTGAATTTCTGCTGTTTTCTAACCAGTCCTTCTTCCCCAAGTTTTCCTACCTCAAACCTACTATCAACATAGTTATTAAGACACCCATTTCATCTTGGCATTTCTCCATTTAGACATCTGTAATAGCTATCTAGTGCCCATTGTTTAAAATTTCAAATCCCGTCCTCAACTGTTCAAAGTGAATCTTTCATCTTATCCTGATTAATGTCCTTCTTTTTCCTATCAAACACTATGCATAGGCCACCTGAGCTCATAATAAAAGACCTGAAGTTCCTCCCTCTTAACTATTCAGCTCTCATCATCCCATGTCTTCCACAAAAGGCTTTTGTAGCATACACTGTTTTCAGCACTTCACAACAAAGGGTACCTGTTTCAAAAATCAATGTCAGTACCTACATGATCTCCTAACCCATAGAAGCAGATCATTACATAGTAGTTGCTTAGTGTATGTTTGGGGGAAAAATGTTTACCTTCCTCGTGTCTCCATTTGTATGTGTTATTCTGTATCCCAACTTCATAGAGAACCTTCTAAGGAGTGCCTCTTCAATAGAAGTTATTTAAAACTAAGTGGTGGCCAATGAGAATGCCAGGAATCACAAGTTTATTCAAACATGCATCCTTTCTTATATGCATGGATTTGGACATAGATTTCTTGAGAAAAGCTATCATCTGTGTGGCTTAGCCACCTAGAGAAGTGACAGGGGCTTTGGCAATACAAACAGGGGGGAAAAAAAAGGAAATGTCAGAACTAGGTTTAACCTACTGACTCCCTTGAAGAGGAAGGCTTTTCAGGCTTCTCAAGCCACACGCTGCAGGTAGTCTCACAAGCTTCTGCAGGTGTATATCCTAGTGGCTATTTCTAGAGGTTATTTTCAAGTTGGACAAGGTATCAGAACCATAAACATAAAAATAACACCACAAATGGAAAGCCCAGACACAAGACTAGACTGTATGAGCAGTTGTCAGAGAAAATAAATTTATTTGATAAAGAAAGTGAATTCAGCCACCAGATAAACTGCTCTTCCCTTTGTTCAATGTCAGGGCAAATAGAATCTATCTTCAAGAAGATTTTCTTTCCAGATTAGACCAGGCTGTACTTAGGTAGTCCAGGGGCCAAGCAACAGCTATGCCAGGCTTGAAGTTTAAGTCATATGCTAATTAAGGAAAGCATCATTGGCCAGGGACAAGTGTGAGCTGCTGGGGGCTGAATTGCAGCTGTGAAATCATGAGACAATTGGAATTATCAGCTGGGGCTGTGGTGGGAAATACCATTCCTCTTTTATGTCATACTCCAACAGAATTACAAAAGAGAAAGAACCAGTCTGAATCACCTAATAGCCAGAATCTAGAATCTAATAGCTACAATTATATTTCCTACAAAAGTTCATTGGAAGTACGAAGAATATGACAAATAACATATAATTACATGGTAATTGAGAAGGAGCCTCCCAATGATGTCTTCAACCCCAAATCTATGTTGCAGTTTTATATACATGACAAAGGAATTTGAACCAAGGCAGCCTGGAATGTTGGAAAAGTAGAAAACCCAGGTTTTATCCCTGAACACCACAGACTTGCTAAAGGATATTGTTGAAATTATCTATCATGTGAACTTTAGTGTTCCAAAATTTGAGTTATTATAATTAGACTTATTAACAAATTGCCCAGCATTCAGAATACACATTCATTTTACAAACGAAGAAACAACTGGATAATTCTATTCCCCCAAAGGCTGTGCCATCAAGGTATGGCATTTACATTTCTGATAGCTACTACTAGTTACTACCAGTTTATGGATGAGCAGATAGGCTTCTTTCAGGTGGGGATAATAAAATTATCCTCTTAATCAGCTGTCTACAACTACATATGTAATTTTTTAAGCTAGTAGAAATTTTGGGGTGGAGTAACATTTAATTTCTCTGTGTAAATTTTCTCATTGTGCAAAGAAATTTAACATATGTTGAATATGTAGGCGAGACCACTTTTAATTTGCCCCGTAAATGGGCTTACTATTTAGTTCTCAGCCCTACTGGACTCTCATTGGTTGTGGTAACAAAGTTAAATGCCTTAGCCAACCCCATGTTGCAAGGGAGCTGTTGGCATCTGACAAGCACATTGTTACTAAGCTGTTACTTCTTTCTAGTCACCAGCTGTTGCCACATGAAAATAGAGGGAATAGTAGCACCATATTTTTGATTATTTTTTCTTAAAGCTCCTGGAAATCCAGATAA